CATGAATTTTCAAATATCTCTGCTAAGGGGGATGCAATGATGCCTGCCTGCTCCTTCAAGACTCTTGGGTGCATTCCATTCGGGCCCGCGGACTTGTGAATGTCCAGTTTCTCAAGGTGTTCCCTCACCTGATCCACATCAATTTTGGGCCTGTCACCTGCTCCTAGAATGGTTTGTGTCATTTCTGACAGTGTGATCCCCTTGGGAGGATGAAAAACCGATGCAAAAAAGTCATTTAGAAGATTGGCCCTTTCTTGAGTGTTGGATGTCAGTTGCCCCATTAGGTCTCTCAGGGGCCCAATGCTATCTTTGTTCTTTTTTTTTACTTCCCACGTATCTGAAGGAGGACTTTTTGTTGTCCTTGATTCCTGTAGCTAGCCTGAGTTCAGTTGTGCCTTCGCTTTTCTGGACTGCTCTCTAGAGGTGTGGGAGAGTGCTGAGTAGTCCTCTTTGGTGATGCTTCCTGTTTTCCAACTGGTGTAGGGTTCTCTTTTGAGTTTAATGAGGTCCAACAGTTCCTTGTTCAGCTAAGGGGGCTTTCTTGCCCATGGACTGCATTTCTTGTGAGATGGAATGGCTTTCCCCTTTTATGGAGGAAAAGGCATTACATTTTTCATCCTCATCCATTCTTTGGCCTCCATGCAGCTATTGCCAACAAAAAGGCCATTTAATACAAGTTCTTGGGATTTTGTGATCTGGATTGGAGCCAGCGACTCATTTATACATGTTATTGAACTTGAGCTGAATTAGAATGAATAACCTCCAGCCAAAGGAGCACCAGATTATCCATTACCAATCTCCCTTTTGTTCTTGATGATGGTCTCTTTGGGCACAGTGCCAAGCGGATCTGATGCAGAAGTCTCTAGATATGAAAATACTGGAGATGGAGGTGTAAGAGAGAGACAGAATATGTGGTTAAGGTGTGAATGCAATATCGTTTGTTCTCTTCCGTTTAAAAGCTCACTCAAGATTTAAAGATATTTTAAATAAAAACTAAGAGGACATTTTTAACAGCATATCTGACTGCAATCTGTTTTCCTGTCATTTCCTCTCTCCTGCTGTCTCTTAGTGTTTGTTGTAGGGAGAAGGGACAGAATATCTGCTGCCACTGTTCATGAACCTCTTTGTAAAGCTGACTATTCCCCCCTCAACTCAGCTCACCACTTGCAAGTTTCCTTTCTGTTTCTTACCTAATGCCTAAAATTACAGCAAGACCCAGAGTATCTCTTTAAAATGGAAACCTTTTCTGCAAGGCATTCTTTTGCACCCTGTAAAAGTGTTGTGCCATAAATTTGCTCTGGCTTTAATAACCACTTTGCACCAGAGTCATAAATTTAAATAGCTTCATGGAAGAGAGTTTGCCTGGAAGTGGGTCACACAAACAGTCCTCTTTCAGACAGGTGCTGACACAGCCTGATACAATTGAGGCCACAGCAATTAGCTTGCCTGCTTCCTTTTAAATTGCCATGAACCTTATCCTGCATTCTTTGTGCCTCCAGAGCTCCTGTTGACATGCATAGGAGTTTTAGGTTTGGAATTAATGCAGGTTCAGGAAGAGTAATGGTGTGATGTCTCCTCCACTTGGGCCCTAAATGGTTAACCATTTCACTGCCCAGATCAGCTGCCATCTCTACTTTGTAAAGTCCAGCCTTTATTTCATATATTATCTAGTAACAGAGGCACAGAACTTTAGGAAGGTTTTGATCTGAACTTCACAGCTAGCTGCTACCTCTATGACAGGCCAAATAAGAGCTCACATCTGACTGCCTTTCAGCTTTGGGCATCTTCTCCATTTCTAGCTGTGAAGAAAAGAAAGGAATAATGGCTTGGATGAGGGCCTCAGCCTTATTCCACGTGACTAAAAGAGAGCTGTAAAGTCTTTAGGCTGCCTTTTGCTCCTGTCATTCACATTAAATCTTCTAGAATAATCATCTCAGAGTATTTCTGTGCTTTATAAAATAATCTCTAAACACTTTGCAAATCTTAATGAATTATAGTAAATAACTTGCTCCAAGTTACTAAAAGGGTCACTGGCAGAGCTGGAGATGAAACTTAGATCACCTAGTCCTCTGTTGTTAACACTTAACTACTCCCCTTTATTCAGCTGGCAAACTGCATTGGAGGAAGAGATGAAGAGAAGCTGTTATTTGTCAGCCCATATACCTTTTCAATTCATGTTGGTTAAACATAATTACAGATTTGATGCTGCAACTTCCTTTTTGATGCTACCAGATTCACTTATCCACGTGGAAGCTTGATGTGTATAAGCTCATTCATCCCTGCATTTTAATGAAAGAAAAGCAATCCTCGTCACAATATTAGTGCTCTTATAGACTGTCTCCAAACCAGAAAAGATATTGTTCTGGGCAAGAGTAGGTGCTTGGTTACAATGAGGGAAGGAAAGTAAACTTAGGAAGAGTTTATATCCACATCCAACTCTTGCCTTGGATCAGATTCCTCATTCATTTTTTGTGGACCCCAAAAATTTCAGGGCCTCATCCAAAGCCCAATAGATCATTGATTTATCCAAGTGATTTATGTGGGTTTTAGATAAGCCTTTTAGGGTAGTAAAATGGTTTCCGTGCCTGCGCATTATTTCGATCTGGCTCTGCAATGTCTGTATAGATTGGGCACTTCAGCAGGGCTCTTTGGCACTTCTGTCTAATAGCTGATTTAGTCAGCTATTAGATAAAAGTGCAAGAAAAGCCCCACTAAAGTGCCCAGTCTGTACAGGTATTGGGTGAACCACGTCCAACTAACGTGATGCCTCTTCTGGGCATACACTGGGAGTGTGGCGTTTAAAGTAAAGTGCCATTTTTTGTGGGTTTTTTATGTCTGTAAGCAGCCCATGTTCCTCCATTGAAAGCCCATTTGGCTTGTGTAGGATACTCTATTGCTGCTTTGTTGAAAGGCATTACAGGTTTCCCTTGCTTTATGCAGGTTCTGTATGTGCGAATTCGCTCTTATGCAATGACCCTTTTTATACCAAAATTTCGTTATATGTGAGGTAAATTCACTCTTATGCGATCACTGTGGTGGAAGCCTGCAATTAGCTGCTTTATGCAGTGCATTGTGGGAGTGAAGTACACCAAAATATAGTCTCCTGTGTGGACCTGTGCTCCTTGCTAGTTATCTGCAACACGTGTTTCTGTAGTTCCCATCCCCATTATGATAGTGCCCTCTGCTTGTGTGCACTGTCTGTGGTTGGTGAGTACCAAAATTGTCTTGTAAAAGTGGTAGAAATGGGTCTGGGGGTCAGTACAGTCGAGGTCTCGGAACCCATTGTAAAGTGGGTTCCCTTTATGCAAACTTGAGTTACGTGCCATTTTCCAGGAACGCATGTACAGCATAAAATGAGGGAAACCTGTACTATATTTCTTCTGTTTATATTTGTTTGCCTCCTTTTAAGAGCACATTAATGAATAAATAGTATTTGGACTGACAGTAAATATAAGAATTGTTAATAGAATATTTGAATTTTAACATATTTTCCTGATGTTTTCTTTTCCTGCCTCTGATGCATCTCTTGTTATCTGGTATTGTTTGAGGAGAAGGTAAATACTAACAGCTGTCATCATCCTTAAATTTTCTGCAAGCCATGTTAGCTCAGCTCACCACTTGCTAGTTTGGTTTCTTGTTTTTTGCTTTACAAATAGAAATGTGATAGAGGGGGCTGCTCCTGAGTTTGCAGACAGGCTGAACCAGTGGCTCCAGCTGAGATGTCAACATCCCTTTGCATCTTAGCAAATAAATAAACAAACCAGAATAAATTATCAACGTTTAAATGAGAACATTAACCATTTTTACTATGGATTGTTTTAACAGAAATGTTTGACTAGTCTGGAATTTTATTTGGAGAATAATATCTACTCTTTTTGTTTTTTCACTGCACCTTCTATTTCCTAGTTTGAAATATGAAGTGATGAACTGGGTCTCTACACTATGGCTGTGTGCATATTTGCGGAGGTCATTTTAGGGATTTTTTGTGCATATCAGCACAGAAGTTGAAGGAAAAAAATCTATTAAGGTACATACCCTGGTGGGCAGTGTAGGATTCTTCCACAGTTTATTTTCCAAACCTTTGTCCAAATTTAGATTTGACTCAATCCTGCCACCTAATGTGTCAGGAAGTTTCCTGACATCCAGTCTAATTTTCTCTTGTTTGGATTCAGTCCGATATTCTTAGTTTCTCCCTTTTGGATGACCTCCAACAGCTCCTCTCTCTACTCATACATCAGTTCCATCTACTTCCTTAATTACTTTTGATGTTCTTCTCTGAATTTCCTTCAATTTGTCCACATTTTTCTGTTCTTGAAGTACCACCTGGAATAAAAACAAATCAGCCTTCTATGTCTACATCTTATATGGAACATGGTATTCAAGAGAGAAAAGCCTGAGGCTTTTGCCAGCATTTATAGGTAGGTCTCCAATTTTAGTGTTAGAAAAATAAGGTGGAATGGTAGTTTAGCAAGCCAGGTCATACTGCATTATTGGAAACGCCTTCGCCTGTGTTATCATTGCTGATCAGAGCAGAGTATGCAAAAAGTATTTTCCTTAAAGGTTATAGAAAGTTCACATGATTGAGAAGATACCAAAACTGTGCTTCCAGTTAGAGGGCCAGCTTCATCCCTGCTCTACAAGTTTTACAGAATCTGTCAAATGTCTAGTAGTATGGAGTGTTGTTTAATTTTTAGATCAGAGGCATGATTACCATCTTTGCTGGCTCCACAGTTATGCCCCATAAACCTCATTCTTTATTGTTCCTTTTAAGAACTTCTTTTTGCTAATCTGCTTCCTTGTTTTCCTAGCCCTTGGAACCTGGGACCTAGAAAGCAGGAAAGCAGAGTTCAGGCAATTGAAAATGTGAGCTAAATTTACATGTGAGAGATGATCGCTTAGCTCATGGAATTAACTGGGAAACTTGGTAATGGTTGCTCAGCAAACATGTATCTCGGGTGCAGTCATGGCAGATCGGACTGAATATTTCTATTTGTTTTTAGTTTCAGGAGCACCTGGGAGCAGGAAGATGGAATCTGGGTGTATGATAGCAGCACTGGGGAACACATGGAGTCACAGTGTCAACACTAGGCTCATACTGCAGTATCATGACTTGCAGACAAGGCAGGTGAGAAATTAATGGGGGAGAGGAGAGAGAAACAAAAGTGTGGTACTCAAATGCATATAATCTGCAATTTAGAGCCTGGTCTCACTACATTTGGGCCCACTGTTTAAAAATGGCTTTCTCTGATTTTGAATGTGCTTTACTGAGTGTATTGGCATCTTGTGTTTCATGTGGCAGCCAGTTCCAGGTGGCCAGTGTCCTGCTCTGACCTGTTTTCTGGAGCAGAGATGGATTCACTCCGCAGACTGTGTGTATGGGTGGAAGCGTGGGGTCCTTGAGGAACTGGGTGCCTCACATTCTTGAAATGAAAAAATCTAGAACTCTTGGTTCCAAAATACCTTTTATTAGACCAACTGAGAAACTGCAATTTTTTTCTCTTTTTCTGCAAGCTTTTGGGCTCATGTGCTCTTCATCAGGCTCAGGGAAAGTTCAAGACAGTAAAAAGTCCCTGTAGGCAGGAAATAAACTTCATTTTTGCGCAGAGGAAGCAGAAGCTGGAAAACTGACCCTCTGGGCCCATGAGAGTCTCTTTGTGAGCTTGCTCTTTGTTGTGTAGATCAAGCAGGATTTCTTCCCTGGTGGTGTCAGATGGCAGACAGGGAGGTATAGAAGTTAAGTTTATAATCCAAAATTGGCTCAAATTTGGCATCTTTCATGTTTCAGGGATGTATGTAGTAGCCGTGTTGGTCTAAGACAAAAAGAAATGCAAAAATCTAGAACTCCTGGTTCCAAAATGATACTTTTTATTAGACCAACTGAGAAATTGCAAAAAAAAATCTTTTTCTGCAAGCTTTTGGGCTCTTGAGATACAGATGCTAATAATTTGAATGCCTTGACCCTTGGTAGGAGAGATGGTTCTTTCTCTGCCTATCTGCAGCCCCTATGCTAACTTCTTTTTTTCAATCCTACATCAAATTTCTGCTGTATTAGGATAGAAATAATTTTACACTGTGCAACTGTTTGCAAGTGAAATTTCACCTACAAGCATAAAAGCAAACATAGAGGCAATTTTCCAGAAGCATACTATTGTTAGGGAGAGAGTTCACTATTTTCACTGAGAAATGTCATTTCAGTGAAATACAGTGACTTTTTTTACTTGCAGAAATGATTGTTTAATTTTTGAGGATCCCAATGAAAAACTTTGGGTGGCAAGATGTAAAGGAGCTTGCTTTTTTAAGAATTTAGCAAAACATGATGTAATGTCCTCCCTTGGGCTATCTGTGGTTGGAATCTCTCTGGGCTTCACATACTTCACTATTATGATGAGGTAACTCTTTCCAAAGATCCTGTCCCTCCTTCTAATGTTACTGATTTCCTGTTCCTTAAAGTAGTAATATTGTCAGAAAAGTGACTGTTTTAAAACTTGCACCTTCTTAGTCTTCATATTTGCTCCCTGTGTGTCTTCAAATCTGAGCTGCTGATTTTACTGACACAAACCAAGGTTTCTCTCTGTTAACCCTTACACAGCCACAGGAAGAGCAAGCAAGTCTATTCTGCCATGCATGTCATCAGTAAAGTTCTAACTTAAGTATTTTTATTACTGGAGCTGATACGCGATGGGAAATAGTATCTCGCTAGAGCCTCAGATTCCAGGTTGTTTGCTAAAAATGAATCTTTTGACTCCCATTCAGTGAGTGGGACATTTAGTCTTGAGTCACTGAAAAATCTGTACTAATTTGTACAGAAACACACTACTGACATTGGCTACTCTTTAAAAAGCTCACCCTAGTTCTTATTTACATTCTCTGCCCCAGGGAGTGCTTGCTCTTTTAGATACTTTGGGCTTGATAAAAATAAGTCAGTTGAATCTTGGATTCTTCTAAAGGTGGTTTGTAAAGGGAGTGGTATTGTTTTTTGTGCTGCGCCATGATGTACAAAGCTAGCTAAACAGGCTTAGAAACATTTTTCCAGTTTCTGACCTGACTAGTATATAAATATGAAGCCTGATCTTTCTTGATTTTACTATGGGTCTAATGGGTTACAAATGTGTTGATTTTTTTTTTCTTCTGAATGCTTTTGTTAAATATATGTTCTAAAAATATCAGCGTGCTGTAACTGATTTCCCTATTCCAAACAATCTGGTGTCAGTTCCTTGATATTTGTGATAATATGTTCTAGGACAGTGATTCTCAGTCAGAGTGCTGAGAGATCCTTTTAAGGATGCTGTACAATATTAGTACTGTTAGGTGTGAAAACAGCTATAATTAACAAGATAAACCCAGAAATTTCAAATACGAATCTGTAGTGTTAAAAATATTCAGACTTGTTGTGGCCTTTCTGAATTCTTTGCAATAGAAAAATTGCTCTATTTTTCTGTAGCCAAAAGTGATTGAAAGCTAAGAGCCAGCATTTTCCAAAGGGCACCTTGAGTCTAAAAAGGGTGAAAACAACTGTTCTGGTAGTTTTCCATTAATCCATAGATGACAATTAAATCTCTAATGTAAAAACAAGTAATAAAAATAAAATAAATGGAGATCATGTGTTGTAAAGAAGTTTTACAAATAGAATTATGAATTAGATATGTGTCTATATGGGCCAGTTATGAATTGGATGTGCCATACAGGGGTGTATTGTGAGGGTGTTAAACATATAGCCAGCCCTCAGTGCTACCCCTGTGTCTGAATTGACCCAGCCCAGTCCAGCAGGCAGGGGCCAGGATATATGTCACCTGCTCTGCCCATTCTGGCCACTCCAGGATCTGTGCTACATGTGGCACCCACCCCGAGTGCTCTTGGACTTGTATTGCACATGGTACCTGCTCCACCCAGTGTGAGGCCATTGGCTCAATCTGACGTGTGGCCGAGCCCCATGTCACTCATCTGGTTTGTGGGGCCAGATGAGTTTGACACTCATGCTGTTTTGGATAGACCATATGCCTATAAAATACATTATTCAAATAAAGTACATTGATGATGTCATCAGTATAGTCCTGAAGCTCAGTAAATTTAGCAGGTCTGTCTGTTTTCCTTTTTATAGATATTTCATTTCATAAAAGCAATTAATGCTTTATAATTGTCTTATCATTTACTACTAAAGCAAGGCACACTAGAATTATCCCAAACGATTCTGCCATCTTGAGCAGTACCTTATTAATTCAATTCTTACAATTATAAAAATGTACTTTCTTTTCTAAATTGTTGCCTTCAGACTGAATTTTCAGAAGTGACTAATGATTATGGATTCTTCAATTTCTGAGTGCCAAACTGAATCGATTTTAAAGTGATCTGATTATCAGGAGGTGCTGAGAGGCAGCTCTTTTGAGTATCAGAACCTTTTAAAATGCCTGAGTTTGGGCATCCAAAAGGTGAGGCATACAAAATCACAAATCACTTGAAAAGTTTGGTCTCAGTTAATACAAATTATTCATCAAAGTTCTGGCCAATTGAAATGATCTTGTCAAAGTTTTGAAGTGTGGTTCCTAAAAGAACCCAGTTGCTATAGAGATCTAGTGTCTAGTCCCTGGGCTTATTCACAATGTTGTCTGCTTGTTTAGAAACAAAAGCAAGTTTTTACTACTTTTCTTCTCCTTAGTCTTGGAGAATCAACAGCACTAATGAAATGAACTGGGATCTGTTCTTATTCACATGTAATTAGAGGAATTTTAGAACTTAACTTTAAAAAGAACTACAGAAACATATTTTTCCCTCCTGTGTCTACACCTGTATACAATAAGGTCAATGATGTAATTGAGTTTTAAATTTTACCTTTTTACATGTGAACTGGGTGAACTTGTGATAGTGAGGCAGAAATGCAACTTTAAAGTCATGTATCGGGTAACAACCTCACTTAGAAGCTATTGCTGTTTTTTGGAGTAGGCCATCGATTAGTGTTGTCGAAAAGTCCTGCTGTTCAATGAAATCTGCGTGCTGTAGCTTATACTGTGAAAAAGCTGCTTTTTTCCTCAATTATGAGAGAGTTGAAAGTAAGAGAAGTGGTAGATGTAGTTGGAGGAAACGGTTCTTAACCCTCCTCATGAAGTGGATCAGACTTGATTCCCCTTTGTAAAGCAAGATAAGTCTGTTATTGTATTTGGTATTGAAACATCCTTAGTGTACGCTGCTCTAAACCAGTGTACAGCAGCAACCTGTGGCTGGGCAGACCTCCAGCTGGGTCACTCTGGCATACCACATCACCTGCATGAAGAAATGGAGGGGGAATGGGGTTTGCAAAGCTCCAAGGTTGCATTCAGAATTGCGTGGTGGGATTGTGACATGATTACCTGTGGCTGAGCTTCATTCCAAAATCTGTCCCACATAACTACAGGAGACCCTTTCTGGCATAGAAGAGAAAAACACTTTGGAGGAAAGAGACCTGCTTATTTATTTTAGCAAGCCAATCTAGAGTACAAGTCTCTCTATTAAAACCCTCAGCTCCTCAGGTTGCTTATTCAAAACAAGGTTCACAATACAAAATAAACACAGTAAAGTGCATGCAGTTGTAGCAGTCCCTCAGAAACTGAAGAATAATTTTCTTTTAGCAGCAGAACTTATAAGAGACTGTGTATGTTCTCTTTGAAAATTAGATGCAACTGTGTTGCCTCCATCCCTTTTGCTCCTGGGTCCTATCTTCCCTTTGCTTCTCTTCCCTATCTTTTCTTCTCCTAGCTTTATGCTGTCCCCAGCAGCGGATCTGGAGTGGGGGACAGTGGGGGGTTGTGGCTGCACCCTCTTCCCTTTTGGCTGTCATGCATGAATACTTGCATAGGGTCTGGCCAGAGTCCCTGCTTTAGTGTGGCTCATACCCAGGGAGTGAGCACTTCTACAATTGTGTGTCCCCTTCTTTCCCCTCTGCTGAATTCAGAGAGGAGGGGGAGGGAGGAGAAGGATGAACAGCAGCAGCATTCACCCCCCAGGTTCTGGAGCTGTGCACAGTTGGGGACTCCAGCCAGATCCTGCCTCAATAACCATTTTGCTCAGAGTCCACTGCACATGGGTGGCACAGCCAAAATTGAGGGGATTGTATCCCTGTGGCCCAAGTTCCTAGATCTGCTACCGGCTACCCTT